AGCTACTATGGCCCTCGAGCGTCTGCAGGCACTCGCCGCTACTCGCATCCCATATCTTGACTGTGTTGTCGCGTGACGCTGACGCCAGCCGCGTCGAGTTGTGAGAGAAGGCCACTGAGTAGACCCGGTCGCTATGGCCCTCGAGCGTCTGCAGGCACGCGCCCCATTCATCTTCTATAGGCTTTATCGTTATCCACTTTAGCTCTTCCTTCTTAAAAAGACCCCTTATTAGGCTGTGAGCTGGACTAAAGACAATTGCAGACGCATATGCCTGAAGAGGACTGCTCTCTATTGCCCACTTGTGATACGTAATAAATCGACGCGCATCTTGAACTAGTTCAATTAATGCAGATGCATTTGCTCTTCCCTACGTTATATTAGCATGTATTATATATAGATAGTATTGCTAATTCGGAATTACCTGAATTACGGCCTCAAGTTTCGCTATTGAAACTACTCCCTTTGACATGCTTTTACACAGGCTAAGCGCCTCAAGCCAGTAAAGGTATTTCTTTCTTACGAATTCGTGAACAGCGCCTCCATCCTGCAGGCTGATTCCGTGATTTGCCGACAAGTTGGGATTCCAGTTGCAGAGATGATTGACCCAGTAGATACACGAGTAGCGTGACGCTGCTAATGGGTCTGGGTTTGGCTGTTTAACCTGCTCGATAGGATATCCTAACGCACGTAAGCTGTAAATGTCTCGTCGAAGCGTCCTAGACATGACCTGGAGAGATCTCGAGAAGATTACATAGTGAGCCTCTTCTATTCCAGACGGAAAGATTTCACTAAATGCCTTGGATAATAGGAAGTCCTTTGCCGACTGATGCACAAGGTAAACCGTGTTCTCTCGCAGAAAAAGAAACGAGCCACAAAGGCCAATGATCTCCCTTATCGACTCTGGGTCGTCAGCTATATCTTCAAGTGTCTCCACAAGAGAAGTAAGCTCTTGCAGTGTGATCGGTCGGTATACTATCGCGATCGAGCCAAGGATCTGTTTACAGCGATCTGCGTTGTACGAGTTGCTTATCTGTTGCATCATCCGCATGTAAACAGGGTCAAGGCCAGGTGGAAATTCGTTAAGTCTTGCAACAGTGTCTAATCGGGAAATTTTCTCAAGATTTTGACACACCAACGCTACCCAGAGGAAGGTGTCGTTCGCATTTGAGGAAAGGTAGTCCAGCACAGCAGTTCGCGTTCGCTCGTTGTACATCTTCCGTTCTGCCAGCTGAAGCACTTTGTGCTTAATGAATATGCCGACAGCCGTAGACACAGATGCTGCGTTGAGCTCAAGTGACAGTTTCACCTTGTGTCCCGCCACTTCGAGACGTTCCTCAATTTCCTGCCAGTTGCGGCTTGAGACAATCCACTTGACGCGAGATAATATAGACGACTGCTCGGCAATAAATTTTAGCAGCCTTGGTAAGTCTGCAACGCATTCGTCGAGCGCGTCGATAATGAGGTACGTCCTATTTAAATTGGGGTCATGCAGCATGTTTGTGAAGATCTCGGTCAAGGCAACCCAGGCGTTTGCATCCTCGAATAGCGCTTTGCCTGTATGGTCGTACTTCTTCCGCACATGCGAGATTAGCAATGGCTGTTGTTTGATGAGCAAGTACACCAAGCCTCGCAGCACAGCTGTGGCGCTGTTGATGCGCGGGTCGTTGGCCTGGCAAAAGAAGTGCGAAAGAAGACCTGTTGCGCCCATCGACTTCTGCAGCTCATCAATGATCCCGCATAGCAGCATCGTCTTGCCCTTTCCAGGATCGGCTTTAACCCACAGCAGCCGGCTCTGGGGATCATCGCGCCATTGTTGGAAGTCAGAGTTTTCAAGGACCCAGCGGTACGAGTCCTTGAGCAGGCCGCCCTTGGTCTCTTCGATGCGCTTCTTGTCGTCGCGAGGATTAGTGCTGCACAGGTCTCTTAGGCACTTATTGTCCGCGTTGGTCTCGTGCATTCTCTCCTGCCGCCTGGTCTGATCCTGAATTGCTGAGCTGATGCTGTCGAGCTTAGCATTGTGCGACTTGGCCGTCTCAGCAATAGCACCAAGCCGAGTCCGGATCGAGACTGTGTTGTACTGCGCTGAGTCCTTTTGCACTGCTGCCTCTGCCGCTTGTATGTCGCTCAGCTCGCCGTCCCAATTTTCCAGCTTGACTAGGTCCCGCGCTAATATAGATAGCCGTCGTCGATGATAGTAACACACGCTCTTCATCTGGTACAACAGGAGTTTTGCGTAGAGCTGGATGATGTTCTTCTCAAGCTCACCTCGCAGGCCTTGCGAGTGCGCTTCGGTCGTGTTCTCATCCAGCAGCAGACTTGACAGATTCCAGTACCAGTCCATCCTCGACACAACATAGGTGATACCTTGCCGGTTAGAGCTCGCCTGGGTGAGCGGGTTCATTAGGATCTTAACACGGCATATTAGCGCCAGATGGCTGTCTTAACAACAGCAGTACCAACCTCGAGCGCAAAGCACACGCCAACCCAGGCGAGAGCCGCTTGCGGCGACGCCTGCACCGCACTGTCAACAACCTCCTTCACGGCCATGGCGGCCTGGATGCCGTCTTCCATGCCCTGCTTCACCTGAGCGTCCTTTTCCGTCCTGCGCAAGCCGTCTTGGACAAGCCGGCGCATCTGCGTCCGCCGCTTGTCTGGATCTTGCTCAATCTTGTTCTGCTGCAACGCGAGGTCTGCAGTTTGTGAGGAGTCTGCCGGGTCTGCATCTTTCCAGATCAATCGGGCGGACAGAATCGTCTCGTATGCATTAACGGTACTCGAGTCAACGGCGTTTGCCTGGTCGTATGCTTGGTTCCATAGTCGCTCTGGCAAGCCGGACGGAGACGCGGCAGGATCAGGAACGGCTGATGCATGTGGAGTAGCGGAGGTAGATGAGGCTTCGCTGACCGGGGGCGTTGCCAGTTTCTTTCTGCCAAGCTTAGCTTTAATTTTTTCCTTTAAAGATGCCATAGCATGAGAAATCTTTGGTCAGCTTCTAGTAGTGATGAGTCCGAAGGTGACAGAGCGGTGCCTCTATGTTCAAGAGATCTGAAAGGCAGCAACTGTGACAGTGCTGCCGGCCAAGCTGCTGCAAGATCTGTGACGTGTCATTCTCACGTGCACAGGCCACTGTGTTATGCCAAGGCCAACTGCAGAGACGCCTCAGCGCCAACTTCTCGAGGTTACGAAGACGTTCCAGCATGGCGCCGAACCTCACAGCTTTGCAGCATAGGAAAACCCAAGCAATTATTCGCAGTGAGTCATCCACTAATGCTGAAATAGCCAGAAATATAGGCTGCACCAGCCGGTCGGTCACCGCGATACGCTCCAACCTCCGTATCTTTGGCAACACCAAAGCTCCTTCCAATGGCGTCGGACGGCCTCGATCTATCACTCCTCCCATGCTAGAAGCCCTACAAGAATACCTAACGGAACGACCGGGCCAATATTTGGATGAGATGGCGGTCTTCCTGTAGGACGAGTTTGAGGTCCATGTCACAACCAGTAGCATAAGCAGGGCGTTGGCCTCAATCAGTTGGTTAAAGAAGACCGCTCGCCGAGTAGCGAAGGAGCGCAATCCAGATCTGCGAGACCTGTATCTCCATAATCTATCGGCATTTCGCTCTTATCATCTTGTGTATGTAGATAAGTCAGGATGCGACAAACGGGTTGGATTTAGACGGACTGGATGGTCTCCTCTAGGCGTGACGCCAATTCAAACCGCTCGGTTCCATCGTGACCGTCGACATCAAATCTTACCTGCCTATACTCAAGACGGGATCCTTTTAGCGCGAGTATTTCAAGGATCTACCGACGGCGAGATATTTACGGACTTTATTGAGCAGCTCCTATCCTATTGCGGCAGATGGCCAGAGCCGAGGTTAGTACTCATAATGGACAACGCCTTATTCCATCACACGGAGCGGCTAGAGCAGATGTGCCATGTAGCAGGCGTTAAGCTTATGTATTTGCCGCCTTACTCACCAGACCTAAATCCAATTGAGGAGTTCTTCTCTGAGTTAAAATCTTTCATTAAGAAGAACTGGCAAGCTTTCGAAGATGACCCGGAACAGGGCTTTGGTGCATTCCTAGAATGGTGCATTGACGTGGTGGGCAACCGAGAAAAGAGCGCCAGAGGCCACTTTCGGCACGCCGGTTTAGTCATTAAAGAGCAGTAGACATCGCAGGCAAATTTATTTAGTTCTAGTCAGGCTATCAATCTATTTCAACCCCACTACAACATTTGTGTTCTCTAACCCAGTGTTCAATGTCACTTACAAACCGCCGTGCAATGCCTGTTTTTACACCCTTATCACTCAGGTTGAAAACTGATGTGAACTCTGTCTTATTTCGGGGGCCCGAAGGCCAAACTATATACTACGTAGGAAGTGACTGTATGCATAGGCAGAAGCACTAATTGGAGGCAGCAGTAGGCAGCATTAGGCAGGGTAGGCCACCGTACCCCAACCCCTCTCTGTAGAAGTTGTAACTGGCTAGGCATGTAGGCAGCTACTATGCCAGCAACTCCAAGTCTGTACGTAGGTGACCGTGAACCGTATGAGTTGTTGATCCTAGGTTGTAGCTGTTACAACCCGAGTTTATCACTAAAGAACTTAGAATCTTGGTCCCCATGGATTTGCTCAAGGTCCAATCCGTCCGCCAAGGCTATCTCACAAGCCCTCTGGTACTCGATCTTTAGCGCCTCGTCGTCAACATGCAGCTGCTGCCAATAACTGTATTCCTTAACAGCGGCATCCCGAGAGCCAGGAATAACAAGACAAGTAGCTCTCTCCGGAGCAGATGGCCCTACCAAACCAGGTGCAGTTGATAGGGAGGATCCATTAGACGGTGCCGGTAGTACGTTCGTAATGTTAATCGGAGGGAGGTTAGACGATGATCGGCTCTAATGTCTCTCGAGTCGCTGTTGCTCTTCTGCATAAAGCTGCTAACAAATATCCTCAGGAACATCATCGTAAGTTTGCAGTTTACCACCTTGCTCTACATGCCGTATAAGACCCTTTAAATGATGTGTTCTTAGCTTGTAGTGCTTCTGTCCTACTGCATCCCGCCAGCAATAAGGGCCCAGGTTACAATGCGGCCCTAGACAGCGCATAAGGCTGTAAACAGTACGCCAGATAGATGGCTCATTAGTAGAGCTCTCCTCAGCATTGAGTTGTGAAGCTCTCTCACAAAGCATTTGCTGGGTAGTGGACAACGAGCCTCGCTTATCTCCCTTTTTTGATGGCGCGGTTAATAACTGACCTATGTCGATATAATTAAAGGACAGTTCCAATCTAAGCTTCTTACCGGCACAGAATATCTCGCCTCATGCTACAAGCTGCTTTTCTACAATCAGCCAGTCGATCTCGGTCTCATCAAACCGCTTTACCAGGTCCCGCCCTGAGCGTTCTGTTACCGAGATAACAACATTAGTATCGTCAGCTCTAACACGTCTATTTGGCGACACCTTGTATAACACTTTCTCCAAATTTGGCCGTAGGTATAGGGTCCAGTACGCTGCAGGTGCTAGCACTAGATTCTGCTCTGTATCCTTCGTAATAAGTCTGTTACTTAACGTCACCTTCCATTCAATGGAGTAGTAAATGCAGCTGGGCGGCTCTTCGTCGTATATCTTATTTTCATCCCACTCAAAAAGGCTAAGTAAGTCGAGCTTAGTGCACTGCGGTACTGCCGGCCGACAACTGCGTGTATCTTGGTTCGCCTCGTCGTCTACCACTGAAAGCGTCAGCAACCAACGACCCGCTTTATGCAAACATATCACCCTTACCATCGCATCTTTGGGTGCTTATAAAGAGGAGGCATCGTCACGGTAAGCGCCACCTGCGTGGCTACTGTTCTCAGAGTAGCAGTACTGTACTACAACCCTCAACGAACAGTATCCTGCGATGCTGGATCGCATTGGTCTGTGCGTGACGGTCTTGGCAACATTCTAGATTCCTTCACCAAACCATTGCTACATCTATCCCATAACCGTTGGCATAATAATACATACGGTAATATAAGGCAATAGCAAAGATTTTGTGTCATTGCTATGTATACTATGAAGTGAAAAGACCTCGTACGTTGTAGCGTGGATGTGTTCAAAAAGCCCCAAATTTAGCGACTCATGCGACGTGTCCTAGATGTCCATTGTGCTAACCAGAATAGCGTGTATATACTGTAATATATATTATAAAACGAGTCAGTTATTATTTCTGCGCCCTACTACTTTTGGGAAGGCGTGGACTAGGCGCTGCAGCAGCATCACGGGCGCGGGGTCCAAAAGGTCTCGGGAGTAGCCGAGACCCGCTTTTCTCTTGATCTTCGTAGTTCCCAAGCTGCACAACAAACAAACAAATCGGCGTTATGTAACTAGGCATCCAACAATTCTCATACCCGCAACGATGGACTCGGAAAGCCCTCCTTCAATGCCCCCGTACGATCGCATCAACTCGTGGCTTGCTTTCGGGCACGGATTCTGCCTCCCTCTTACTCCTCCGCCCGACAACGACTCCGAGCTGCGTTCAGCTCCCTTGAAGCGAAAGTGCGCCATGTCCCTCCCTATGCCTGCCTCCAGCTCGCATCGCAGCGACAGCCCAAAACGGCGAAGAACTAAGCATGTTGATGATGTTCAGCCCGAGCAGAGCGTGTCGCAACTCGGGGCCGAAACTACGCTGGCTTTGAACGAAAGGAATGCATTCAGCCCGACCGCCAGTCGTGTTTCGTCCAGTCCGAAACGTTCATCAAGTCCGACCCGTGAGACGCCAATTATACTGAGGAGTGCTATCCGCGCGCAGATCTAGTGTCGGGGAGAAGTGGTGTGCATGTTCTAGGTCCCGATCTTGATCGGTTTGAGAGGCTAAGTACAGATTCAGTACGTGGAGTTTTTCGGTCGCTCAGGTTGTATGGAAATCTATTGAAGTATGGGATGGATGAGGGGGAGCACGGGTATTGGGGACGGTTCTTTGGGCCTGTTCTACATAAGCTGGCTAGGAAAATGCACTAAGATCTGTGCTCCGTTTCTGATGCAGCTCGCGACTCCTGTCTGCGGCAGTATACTTCTCAAGGTTACTGGCGACGAGAGCCATCATGGCGGTCATTTATGAACTCGCGCCCTTTGTCACACAGTGACGCCCACCCATCCAGCACAATTTCCTCACAATCCCTGCCGTCAGCTGCCGCCCATATCCTCTTTCCAGTCCGCTGTTGAACAATCGTGCTACAGTACCTGCAATTTGTGCGAGATTCTCGTCGCGAGCTGAAGGGTAGCGGCCATCCTCCCATCTGAGAACACAGGAAGGCCGCTAGGGCTGGAGCTCCGCCCGCTTTCATGTACCCGGACTGCCGACAGAGCTTCAAACTGCTAAACTCTGCAGCGTGTCGGTGCGACTTCCCATGCCGCAGTCACGTGCTGACACACGATCGAAACGTGGCAGGGGTCGTCCTTTGTACTTTGCCATTCCACGCCTCCCCTTCCTTTCAGTTTAATTTTTAATCTTGAAAGCCAGTACCACCATCGTAAACCCAAGATGCACCCATATGTCGCCCAGGAATGGTCTCTGATGTTGCCTTACTAACTTTGTCAGATACAGCAGTATGCCTTGCTTAACTTCCCAACAAGCTAGACAACGTAAACCAACCAACACTTACTACACGTCCCTAAAACGAACTCTAACCTGCTTCCCTCTTAAGGACCTCCTACTAAACTCTTATAATCTTACCCTAACTTTAATTTTAACTAATTACTCTAAATCCTGCTATAGAAAACCTAGATAGCTTCTAATAATTTAAGCAACTCTAAATAGGATGGCATAGCTACTCCAATTACGCCGGTTGCTATTAACCCCGAAGCTGTAATAATAAGCTTGCTTAAGGCACTTTAGAGCAACAACTAATATAAGGTTATAGATATTGTTAATAAACTTTATTATACCGGTTTTAGTAGTGTTATAGGACTTCTATAGCTTGCTATATATAGTAACTAGTTTAGTAGTAAGAGTTTTATTCTTAAAGCTTTTACTAAAATTCTATTCCTTTATAAAGAGAATTTTTACACTAGGTTTATAATAGAGATTATCTTACAGCGTAACCTAATATCTACTATTAAAATTATAATTACTCCGGATAAAAACCGGTTAAAACAGGAACAGGTAAAATTAAACACTTTTAGCAAGTCTATTAAAGACTTTTTACAACTTCCGGAGATTATTAAAGATGCTATATAAGTTATAGGTCTAGGATAAGTTAGTAAAATTAATTTAAGGGTATTCTCTAGAAATATTCTTTCTATTAAAATTTGCGGATTAGACTAACTATAACTATAAGTTCTTAAACCTATTTTTAGACCTTAGCTAACCTACTAAAACCTTAGTTAATCTTCCTAGTCTAATCTATACTATAAATAAAGCCTAAACTAAAGCTAATAAAAACTTAATCCTTAATTTTATTAAAGACTATATAAAAAATCCTTATACTATAATCCTTGCTATAGTCTTTATAAAAAATAATTTTACTAACTAAATTATTCTTAATTACTGTAAAAAGATTAATAAGAAATATAAGTGCACGCTAGGTATTATTATAAAGCCCGATTACTTTTATAAGTATACTTAGAATAAACTTAACTAGGTTAAGCTGGCCTAGAATAAGAATATCTATTTTAAGTTAGGATAGCATATATTAAGGAACCGCGCGGACAACAAAATAAGCTTTTCTATTAGTTAGCGGAATAAGGCCGAAACGCTTTTTTTTAGTAAAGGCCGCTACAACAACTTGCCTAGGGACAGCGTAGGGATTAACCCGCTTTGCGAGCGTTTTAGCAACCTTTTGCTTTATTATCTTATTAAGGAGCTTCCGTTACTTAGAGAAGAGATAAACACTAAGCTTTAGAACATAGTTAATAATATTAAGAAGCTAGGTAAGAAGCGTAGCATAATTAGTAAACAGTGTATAATACTTTTTAAGATTAGTATATATATTTACAATATTCTTAACTCTGCTGCTAAAAGGTATTATAAGAATAAGTTCTTTGGGCCTGTTAATATAGAGGCCGCTGTTAACTTAACAAAAAATATCTAATAATTCCGAGCTGTTATTTAGTATCTAAACATCGAGTTTACTAACTATATACGTTTGCGTGGTTACAAATATACCGTGGGGACGGGTCCTAGTAATAATAACATTAACAAAGCTAAAGATAAGAAAGCATAGAGCCAGTTAGAGGACGAGGATATCGGCTTACTTCTCCCGAAGCCGAAAACACTTACCCGTTAGGAAGCCATCTAATAGGTTTAGAAAGTGCTTAAGCAATTATATAGTTTTAAGTTGCTAGGGAACTTTAATCCTATACTTATTAGCCAACTATTCTAGGATTAGTCTTAAGAAGGCAATTGCTTTAGAATATATTAATAAGATTGCTAAGGCCTGCAAAGACTTTGTCTATATTGTTCTTTAGTATACTTCTCTAGCTAAGTTCTAAATTCGACTTACTGGTCTCTATATAGATACAGCGCTCGCCACTACTCTATTAGCTAGCAAGGAGGAGCTTTACAAGATCCTCGCAGATAAGGCCTGTTATCCCATAACTTACAACCACTATTTTACCACCACCCTCCAGAAGCAACAACAGCGCAAGCACCAGAAGATTGTAGAAGGTGCAAAGAGCGCATCCGAGATAAATATCTACTACTCGAATTCCAGCCACACCCACTACAATCCTGCTAAGATGGAGAAAGCTATAGCTAACTCTATTGAGCAGAACATGGACAAATACTCCTCCAAGGAGGCGTTGGACAATCAGCGCGCATACTACAGGGCAAGAATACCCACCCAACTCATTCCTAACAGAAAGATAATAGTCTAGCAGGATGAGTCGAAGTACTTTATTAATGCTATCGCCAAGCAGGTTATTAAGCGCCACCTCATCGAGCCGCTTCCCAACAGAATCTTTTCTCCATTGGTCGTCGCCCAATTCACTGACGAGGAGGTCAGTTTCATCGCCGCAGAGCCACCAGAGCTTACCCAGCAGCGCGCATTCCTTAAGTCTCGCAAAGCCATGCTCCAGAAGGGCATGGATACGTTCAAGGAGGCTATGGGAAGACTGAAGCGTTAGTTTGAAGGTTCGCTAAGGGCATCGATAAGGTAAGTGGGATGTCAGCTGTCACATTGTCGTATACCTCTCGTTACAGACAAACTTATCGTTCGATATCGAGAAATACGGGGATGGGAGAAGGGAGACAAGGCGGCAACGAGTGTCGAGGGTCGATTAAGTTTTTGTTTGGGCTGTTGGCGCCGATCACTTACAATCACTACTTCACCAAAACTTATCAAAAAGTCTAGAGGGAATAAATCAAAGCCGAATACACGATTGACGTGGGTGGTTTCGGAATTGAATAGCAAGCGTGTTTCTTGCACTGATCATCCCAAAAATTCTCTATCGACTGCGCACAAGTGACGTCGCTCATTTCACCCAATCTCTCGGAATGGTCGTCATGTTATCATAGTTGATTAAAATGTATCAAATGCAATTCTCATCATTCCAATCGTTAGGATCTAATTAATACTGCGAAGGACACTTGCAAATTAGCGTTGATCACATTCCATACCGAGCAGGTTGACCGGTGACAAAAGCGGTCAACCTGCTGCAGGTAGAACGTAACAGAATTTGTTTGCGTATGACTATCCTTCCTGCACCGCCCAGGATTTGGCGCGGTGACCAAATGAGAAGTTAGGAGATGGAGATCGGAAAGGGTCGTGGTTGAGAGCCGGCAGCGGCTGCTTCAGCTTCAGTCATGGCTTTGTCCATGCACGTTTGCGGACACCATTATACCTTCCTATGCCATGGACCGAGAAAGACTGTTGGGTTCGTCGGTGGAGTCCTTGATATTGGGCTACCCCAGTGTAAGATTCGCGCTTGGTTCGCTAAGTCCTCAACTTCTTTGACTAACGTACTCCTAACTCGTTACAATAAGCAGTGTGGAGGAGTTGGGACTTGCCATACCGACAATGTTGCCTTGCGCGACTCCTTCAGGCCGTACACTCGCGTCCGAGTCCAGTAGATAGTCTTCTAGCCTGTTTAACCTCTTCTTTTGTGAGTATGCGACTTCGACAATAACTCCAAGGTGTTGAGCTTTGTTGTGCCACAATGAGGCATCCGGCACATGTTTTGACTTTCTGGAAGTCAGTTCACTTTCGATGAGAAAGAATATCTCTGTAGAACGGGCCGGATATAGCCTCTGAGCGAAGGCCGTAGCGTTTTCCGTTCCTTTACGTATCAGTCTTAGCTGACTAAATATAGCGTCCTCAACGCGAGCGATGAACAATTCGTGTACAGCGGTGGGCGTTCGAACGGCAAGTCGATGACTTTCTCCGTCGTCATCATACCTCCCAAGCTCCGTCGTTAGCTGTTGTTTCTAACTGCTTCGAGTCCACGCACCGAGTCTTGTCTTTTGTACATTCTCACAACCTTTCGTCTCGACTTGAATAGCCAGCGGTTGGCAATGTACATTAGTGACAGTCATGCAGCCAACCGCTGTTTTGCCTTATCGATAAGGCGCAACACAGCTCCCGCAGCTGTTCAGCCTTGCTGCGGCCCCATTCCCCTCAGCCTGGTTGCTCACCCACAGATCTTCTTCCTCCATCATGCCGCCGTCACCCATTGCCACCGGCCCATGTATGTCTTTATCAGTTCCCGGCTTCTTGCAATATGGATCCACTCAGTGCCACGGCCAGCATCATCGCTATCCTGCAGCTCTCGGCCAAGGTCCTTGAGTATCTGAACGACGTAAAAGATGCCTCGAAAGACCGCGCGCAGTGCACGATTGAGGTCTCAAACCTTCAAACACTCCTTTTCAGCCTGTGATTTCGATGCGAAGAGGGAAACACAAGCCAGCTATGGTACACCGCAGTCCAAGCCCTCGCAGTTGAGAACGGGCCGCTCGACCAGTTCAAGCAAGCGCTGGTAACGCTGCAGACCAAGATGACAGAAGGAGGTCGACTGAAGAAGGCCGGCGAGGCGCTAATATGGAAGTTCAAGAAAGAGGAAATAGCCAGCATATTGGCTCGAATAGAGCGTTTGAAGTTGCTGATAGAGATCGCGTTACAGATGGACCACTTGTAAGCTTCCGTACTAGCACTGCAGGGCGAAACTGCTCACTTGTACAAGCAAACTTTCTCAAGCCATCAAAGACGATACCAACATCATTCGGACACACGTGTCTGCTATACAAACAGGCATAAAGAGGATCCAACAAGATCAAGACTACGCGAGACACCGCAGGCTTCTAGAATGGTTATCGCCTACAGATTACCCCGCTCAACAATCCGACATCATAGAGCGCAGACAGGAAGGAACAGGTCAGTGGTTCCTAGACGCGCCTGAGGTGGCAAGGTGGCTCAGTGAAGCCAAGGGAACTCTCTTCTGCCCAGGAATCCCAGGAGCCGGCAAGACCATGGTAGCAGCCATTGCGATCGATCACTTGTTGAGATCAGTGCAGAACAGCTTACATGGAGTTGCTTATGTGTACTGCAACTATAAAGCTCAGAAGGAGCAGGATGCTTGCAGTATGCTGGCGGCCATCCTAAAGCAGCTGGTGCAGGCTCGACCATCGATTGTGAAGCCTATAGAACAACTGCATCAGCAGCATGCCGACCGTGGGACTAGGCCATCACGGGACGAGATCTTTGGCGCACTCCGAGATGTGCTTGCACATTGCCCTACTGTTTACATTGTGATCGATGCTCTGGATGAGTGTCGAAGCAGTGACGGCACTCGCCGTCAGTTACTGGCCAACCTTCGAGATCTACAGGCGGGTGAAGATGTTCGCCTAATGGCCACCTCACGCCTCATGCCGGAGATTGTAGATGGATTCGGAGAAGCGCTGTGGCTGGAGGTGCAGGCTAGTAAAGAGGACGTGAAGCGCTTCGTGGCCGGCCAGGTAAATCGACTACCTCTTTGCATTCAGCGCAACCCTTTGCTGCAGGACATGGTGCAAGACAAGATTGTAGAGGCGGTGGATGGCATGTATGCTTCTTGTTCCGCTTTGTGAAGTGACGTAGGCTTACACGCTTTCAGGTTTCTTCTTGCTCGCCTGCACACGGATTCGCTTTTGGACAAGAAAACGGTAAAAGACGTCAAATCAACTTTAGCCAGACTCTCAAAAGGCTCGGCTGCGCTCGATAATGCATACAGAGAGGCTTGCCAAAGGATAGAGGACCAGCTAAGTGGAGATTTTGAACAAGCCAAAAAGGTTCTGTCATGGACCACGTATGCGAAAAGGCCACTCACCACTTCTGAGCTATGTTGCGCTTTAGCGGTAGAGCCAGAGAAAGCAGAGCTTGACCCAGAGAATATGCCTAATGTCGAAGACTTGGTGTCCGTGTGCGCTGGTCTTGTTGTCGTCGATTAAGAGAGCGCTATTGTCCGTTTCGTGCACTACACTACGCAAGAATACTTCGAGCGTATTAGAGATGCATGGAACCCGGGTGCTCAGATCCATATTGCCACAACATGCCTCACCTACCTATCCTTTAGTGCTTTCAGGAACGGCAGCTGTTCCACGGATAAAGCGTTCAAAGAGAGACTCCAGGAAAACGAGTTCCTAGACTATGCAGCCAAGCACTGGGGAGAACACGCAAGAGCAGTCGAAGCCGAGGTGTCTAGTCAAGCCTGCTCATTTCTTCTCGAAAGTGGATTGCTTTCATGTGCTGCACAGGTACTGTCGGCTGGAAGTCACCCATACATATATCACAGCCAATCCTTCACTAGGACGTACTTGCACCACACCGCGCAGTTTGGGTTATCCCAAATAACAGAGGACCTTTTGTCGAGGATTGAAGGGGAACTTGCAACTGTGCTAAATGCGACAGACAGCTCGGGTCGAACTGCATTGCTCCTTGCCGCAAAATATGGACACGAAGAGACGGCCAAGTTACTGCTAGACAAAGGCGCCGATATCAAGTCACAGGGTAGAAATGACGGCAACGCACTCCATGTGGCTTCAGCTAAAGGCTGCCATAAGGTGGTGAAGGTGCTGCTCGAGGCTGGTGCCGGGCTCAATACACAGGGTGGACGCTACGGCAATGCGCTAAATGCTGCTGCAGTGGAAGGCCACGAAGACACGATCGTACTGTTGCTCGAAAAAGGCGCCAACGTGACCGGCTTAGATGCACAGTTGAAAAGCGCCATGCATCATGCCGTCAACAACGCGGTTTGCAAGCCCTCGATGGTCAAATTACTGTTAAACCGCGGTGCTCAAATGAACACAGTCGACATTAACAACATGACTCCGCTGCACTATAGCGTCAAGTTCGGCCATAAAGATGTTGCGGAATTGCTTTTCGACAGAGGCGTACCTATCAATTCCGAGGTTCATCGAAAGACGTGGACTTGCAAGGCTGTACAGGACGGTACGACTTACGAGGAGTCTGCTCCGAAGTCCACGCCGGAAGTCCCTCATGTTTCAGCTGGTCTCACACCATTGCACTTCGCGACCTTGACTGGCGATCCTGCAATGACTGAGTTCCTTCTTAAACATGGTGCTGACCCAAACGCTCTTTCCGATTATGGCGAAAGCCCTCTGCACCTTACGTTGCGCAGAACGCTTCATGGGACAAGATATCAAGACGATTGGGTTGATCCTTACTTGAGGGCAGAAGGTCTGTGGGATTTTGTAGATTTTGAAGAGGATGACGTCGATGCAATCGACGCTGATATCTCTCAACATCGAATTGCGGTGCTCGACGCGCTTCTCTCAGACCCGAGGACCAGTCTCACAATGAGAGACTGTCAAGATGAATATCCTGTCCATTGCATCCCGTATAACCGGTCAGAGAGTACGACAGTCATCCAGAAAATGGTATCCAAAGGAGCGGACCTGTCCTTGGCAATTCAAAACAACGAACTGCGCTGCATTTAGCCAGTAGAGCCGGTGACTATGAGTCAATCATTGTCTTGCTCTCCCTAGGGGCAGATGTGACATTGACGGATAATAAGGGCCTCAATGCACTTCACCACGCTGCTCGGAGCGGGAATTACAAGACAGTAACCGCCATCCTGGAGACTGAAAGGGCAAAATCAGTCAACCTTATAGCATCAAAGGACAGACGAGGAATGAATGCACTTCATCACCTGTTGTCTAAGATGTTCTCATGCCGGGTTGAGACGGAGCAATTGCTACTTAGTCAGGGGGTGGACGGTTCAGAGTTGGATGAATGCGGGGCCTCACCATTAGCAAGCTACTTTCTAAGATCCACCTTGAGTATTGACGTCGACATCTGCCAGTTACTGCTAGGAATCGAGGGAAATGCATCTTTTATTGACAATAATGGGCAGACCCTCGGGCATTTGTATGCCGGAACTCTTGACTTTGGAGTCCATGTCCTAAAGCTTCTAAAGGAACACGGGGTCGACATGACCAAGAAGGATCTTGAAGGAAGAACAATGCTACATCGTGCCGCCAACAGCGGTTCACTTACCAAGGACTCGCTGGATTTTCTTGTTAATGTCATCGGCCTTCAGCCAAGTGCAGAAGACTCGTGTGGAAGAACAGCTTCACAGTACGCTACGGAACAAGCTGCTAAAGACCATAGCCAGCGGATTTATGACGCTGATCGTTGGCAAAGGACCAAGGACATCTTGCTACAGCATTGTCTTGCGTCGATCGCATGACTGGGTCATAATGATTATAAGATATATTCCATAGGCCTGTTTTCTTTGACTTCTTCATACGAACTGGTAACAATAAAGATTCACTTACCTTACTACACCAACGCTGGGCAAGGGCAATTCCTTATGGAAACAAATGATCTGGATCGATGGAAGTCCATCCTGATCACGTGAGCGAATCATGGTGTGATCCCCCCTTGAACCCGCTCTAGTACTTCGAAATACTTTTTCACGTAAAGAGGAATGCCATCACAAACTTGTAGTCCCTCAGAGCCTCCTCCCACTTATCGCTAACCTTCAAGAAACCTCTCCGTTAAAACACGGCTCTCCTTGAGCAGGCCTTCCTTGCGGCAGGGGCGCCTCAATCACGATCCGACGTCATCGGGCCGATCAAAGGCAACAAACGTCTCGCACTCGTTGGCGATGCTGTTCTTCGACTTTGTATCCTTGATGAATGTTTTCCAACTAGTGGTGACGCAGGTTAGCATGTTGAGAATTAGCAGGGAATGTTCTTCTAACCAGGCGTAGAACTCGGACAAAATCTCGTGGTAGATGTCGGAACAAACGAAAATCTGAAGAACGTAGCGAAGGAGTGAGGTTTGAAAGAGTACATCAGAGAAAATCCATGTCAAAAGGGTCAGGAAGCGAAAACAACGCTCGCTTCTACGGTAATCAACCCTTCCTACTTCTATGCAATTCGGAACATTATACAAAAGGGTCGCAGGAGCGGGTCGGCACCCTTCCCTGCTAGCGCGCCTACTACAAGTATTATAGAGCAAACAAACTAGGAGCCGCTCCCGCTTCTAAGCTCATCTGCAATCCTACTACGTAAGAAAATACGAAAATTGGAGTGGCAAAATTAACAACTATACACGTGTTAGGCGAGCGCCACCTAGCAGTGCAACTACTATATATTTTGTTCTACACAGCGTGTCTAGCAATCCGCTAGTCACTCACTTACCTTTTAAGGTTTGTGCGTGGCGCAATAGTATAGAGCTTCACCCTTATAATATACATATTCCCCTTCCTCCTTTACACAATAGAAAGATAAAGAAAATATTTATTAAGGGAGAATATATAGGGTGCTGGTATTCGTACACCCCCTTTTCGGTAAGGACGAGCTTAATTACCACCCCCCTTTTCTCTCCGCACCACCCCCCCTACATTTAGTCTAGCTTCGGCTCGTAACAACTTTGTTCCACCAATTAGGTTATCGCTTAGGCGATAGTAGCGTTAAATAACGGTCTTAATTCACCAATATAGCACCGGACCTCTTTTTCTACCTGACAAGCAGGCACCCTAACAGCGACCCAGGGCTCTATTTCTTTAGTCTCCGACAGTCAACTAGCCCTTAAGGATGGCCCTCTATCTACTCCTAAGGAGAAGGCTGTTTATAGTGAAGGAGCTGGTGCAGCAGGAGGATCTTCGGGTGTATGACCTTGGTATAATAGTGTATACAGCGTTCCTTTTAATCAGCAAATAAAAGTAGTTATCTAGGAGCTTTCCGCTTCTAGCTATAGTAAAGAGAGTGAATAGACTATTGCTGCATGTGTATATATCCTTTCTAATTTATATAGCCTTTCCAATTCGTGTATACATCCTTTCCAATTTGCATAAACAAGTGAATCTAATTAGTGGAACAAAGTTATTACCGGCCGGAGCTAGGCTAAATGTAGGGGGGTGGTAGGAAGAGAAAGGGGGGGTGATGCGAAGAGAAATGGGGGGTAGTAATTAAGCTCGTCCTTTTGGTAAATGTACACCCCCTTTCTGGTAAATGTACCTCCCCCAGATCCTTGTCATTTCACCCCCTTCTAATTGGTCCGGAGGGGTGCTCCGAGGCCTCCGATTCGCTCGCTTAAGTTACTCAACTAATTCTGAATGCTCTCTCCAAATGCGGCGTGGCCACAAACAATCACATCCTCATCCTCCTCCACCTATACACTCTCCTTCACCTCCACCATGGCCCTCCTACCGCCACGGCTAGACTACTACGCTACGGCGGAGGAAGCGCATACTGCTATACAAGCGCATACTGCTATATAAGCGCACACCTTATCGCCGGCCGCCTGGCTTAAAGGATAAGGCATTACGGAAGAAGGCACTACTATAGAAGAAGGCAGTACAGCAGCAGGATAGTGCTTATTTTTAGCTTTATCCCCAGCTAGAAAGGCTTAGCCGTAAAAAGCTTTTCTGTTAGCTTGCGGCGTATAATAAGGAGGCGGCCTATAGTGAAAAGATTAAGGGATATATAGATTAAAATACGTAATAGGTGCAAGCAGCAATAGAGGGGGGCTAGGCTTAATACGGAAGAGCTGTAATAAGGTAAGGTTTTAACTATTTTAGTATACTTTTAGGTATATAGGTATATAGGTAGCAATATAATAGCCTATATATAGCTGCAGGAAATGGAAAAAATGCACGATAAAACGGGTAGGCTACACAGCTTTACCTTATATATAGCTTTATATACGGCCTTATATATAGCCGTATATATAGCTGTAGGAATTAGATAAAACGCATAATAAAATGGAGAGGCTGTACAGCCTTCTATACGGCTATGCCTACGGCACAGATGCACGTAAGAATAGAGCTCCGGATAAAGCTCCAAGCTATTCTAGCTAATTAGAAGATTAGACGGGAAGAGGGGTGTATATTTACCGAAAAAGGGGTGTACGAATACCAGCGCCTAATATATAATAATAAGAAAAATAGTAATATTTATAGCTAAGATAGTACGTAGTAGTACTATACTATAGCACCTAATTGCCAGGGGCCACTAACTATATACCCTCTTTTAACTCCACGCACACCTTTTTTTTACTCCACGCATATCCCCCTCCTCTTAGCGCTTCACTACTTTCTAATTGGCTCGGAGGGCTACTCCGTAGCATCCGATTCGCTCGCTTAACTCGTTTACTAATCTAAATGCTCTTTCTAAGTGCGGCTATGTATAATATAAGCAATTATATTATGCCGATTTATATAGCCTTATATACGAGCTTATATACGGCCTTATATATAGCATTATATAAGGCCTTATATATAGCATTATATACGGCCTTATATATAGCATTCTTATATATAGAATTATATACCGCCTTATATATAGCATTATATACCGCCTTGTATATAGCATCACGTGTAGAGAGATATAAAGGTAAATGCCCAGAGGAAGCTCCGGGCTCTCTAAGCTAATTAGAAGGTCGTGAAGCGCTAAGAGGAGGGGGGTGTGCGTGGAATGAAAAAGGGGTGTGCGTGGAGCTAGAAGGGGGTGTATAGTTAGTAGCCCCCTAATTGCCGAAGCCGCTCTACAACCGCAAGATGGCCTCCTTCTGCTGCCGCTTGGAGTGCTGTTCTGCCGTTATATCCTGCTGCTACTGCATTATTGACCTCTGCCTTTTCTTGGAGCAGCCGCTCTACAACCGCAAGATGGCCTCCTCCTGCCGCCGCCTGGAGTGCTGTTCTGCC